AATGTATTAGCAAAAGAAGCAGAAAGAAATGCGTCGCATGTAGAACATCATGTGGATCAAGCCTCAAAGATAAGTCACGCAGCTTCAAATGGAGCATCTGCATCTGGTGGATCAACTTCAGGAACTGGTAATGGTAATGTTCCTAGAGATGAAAATACATTTAATAATGATACAAATATCGGAAGTAATAATGAAAGTAGCTTGGAATTTTTGGCAAGATTGACCAGAAAGTTACAATTTTTTGAAACGAGATTAATCACGATGGAGGATTTAGTACAATCCGGTGTGTTGGATCAAGTTCAAGCGAATATAGATTATTTGAAAAAGAAATGGGAAGAAATTACGGATGAAATGGATTCAGCTTGTATGATTGCTGACGACGCAGGAGAATATACCGAAATATTTTTTAGAATCGAAAGAAAATTTTTAAGCATTTTAGCATTAATGGGCAAGGGTCCTGAAATTTTAAATGTAGGAATAGAGCCAAATATCGTGAAATTACCACCAATCAAAATTCAGCAATTTAGTGGCGAGTTTAAGGATTGGCCAAAGTTTTCAACATTGTTTAAAAGTATGATAATTGATAATAGATCACTTAATGATGTACAGCGAATGCAGTATTTGCAAACAAATGTAGCTCCAAAAGCAGCAAAAATAATAGACCAATTAGGATTGCAAAATTTTAACATAGCTTGGAAATTATTGCAAGGTCGGTATGACAATAAACGAGCAATTCAAAATATGTTTTTGGATAATTTAATGGATATGCCAAAAATGACAAAAGATACACAATCAGATATGCAACAATTAATTGATACAAGCAGGGAATTTATTGCTTTAATTGAAGGAATAACTTTAGAAGATGTTATTTTGAGGATTCTAAATAAAAAACTACATCCACGAAGTTTAGAGAATTATGAATCTACGTTAAGAAATCCAAAGGAGCCACAAAAATTGGAGGATTTTTATTTATTCTTAGAACAAAGATCTCAAATTTTGGGTTCAGTAGAAAAGGAAAATGGTTATAAAAATAATTTCAATTTTCATAAAAAACAATATTCAAAAGAAGATAATAAAAAAATAATGTTGAAGTGTATGGATTGCGGGGATTCGAGGCATCCAATCTTTTTATGTGAAACTTTCAAAAAACGAGACGTGAAAGACAGACAAAAAATTGTCAGAGAGAAATGTCTTTGCATATTATGTTTAAAACCAGATCATTCTTACAAATTCTGTGAGTCAAATTTAAAATGTAGAGAGTGTGGAAAATGTCATAATACATTATTACATTTTAATAAAGAGTCTGATGCAAGGCCAGGTGTTTCCAATATAAAAAATAATTATCGTCATCAGAAAAAGGCTTTTGTATGCACGGCTGAAGAAAACGAAACTGAAATCCAAGATACAGTAGCATGTATAGCATCAAATCAAAGTAAGGGTTCAAAAGTGTTATTGGCAACGGCAAAAATCAGAATTAGAACAGAATTTGGTTGGTCAGAAGAATTTGGTGCATTATTGGATCAGGGGTCAATGGCGACATTTATAACTGATAAAGCAGTAAGAAGCTTAAAATTAAAAAAAGAGAAAAATAATGTGTCAGTTTCCGGCATTGGTGGTGTAAAAACAGAAAAATCAATTGGCAGTGTCAACTTAGAATTTACAGCACGTTATCCTAATGCATTTGTTGGTAGAACAAAAGCAATAATTCTGAGGAAACTTACAACATTATCACCATGGAGTTATGTCAATGAGAAAATAACAGAAATCAACGAATTTAATGGATTAATTCTAGCGGATCCAGACATAAGCAACACATTCAACATAGACATAATTTTGGGTGTAGATGTTTACGCAGCGTTACTATTAAATGGTGTAATTAAAGCTGAAAAAGAGAATTTAGTGGCACAAGAAACACAGTTAGGATGGATTTTATCAGGTGTTTTGGAAAAACAGGACGAGTTAACCAATAATGGCATCTGTTTAGTTTCTACAATTGATGAATTAAATGAAAACATGAAAAAATTTTGGGAATCAGAAGAAATTTTTGAGATTCCATTCATATCAGAAGAAGATAATTATTGTCTTGAACATTACAAAAATAATACTCGACGAAATGAAGAGGGTCGTTATATAGTGACGTTACCTTTTCGAGATAATATTGAAGAATTGGGAAATTCGAGAAGAAATGCCTTTGCGCAATTATTACATCAGGAACGTCGTTTGGAAAAGGATGCGAAATTAAAGCAGAGTTATATTGAATTTATTAAAGAGTATATTGATATGGGTCATATGGTGGAATGTACTGATACAGATGTTAAAAACGGATTTTATTTACCACATCATGCTGTATTCAAAGATAGTACTACAACAAAACTTAGAGTAGTATTTGATGCCAGTAGAAAAACGTCTTCGGGTTTATCATTAAATGAATGCATGATGGCTGGTCCAAGAGTTCAGGATGAACTATGTAATATTATGTTGAGGTTTAGATTATATGAGATCGCTTTTACGGCTGATGTGGCGAAAATGTATCGTCAAATCTTGGTTACAGAAGAACAACAAAATTATCAAAGAATTTTGTGGAGAAATGATAAAAGTGAAAACGTAAAAGAATACAAACTAACAACTGTAACTTATGGAACCAGTTCAGCGCCTTTTGTAGCAGTGAATACGCTCATGACAATTGGAAACGAATGGGAAGATAAATTGCCAGAAGCAGCTCAAATCATTAAAAAGGATTTTTATATGGATGATTGTATGAGTTGTTGTGAAACTTTAGATCAGGCAATTCGTTTACAAAAAGAGGTTACGCAAATTCTTGCAGATGCTGGTTTGCCATTAAGGAAATGGAGCTCAAATAATATGGATTTAGTGAACGCGATTCCATTGGATCAAAGAGAAGGGGCTCAAACAGATGGAGAAGCTTCAATTTCAACATTGGGTCTGAGATGGTTTAATTTAAAAGATGAGTTTGGTTTCAAAATGAATCCATTCAAGGATGTGAAAATGATAACAAAAAGAGTGATATTATCGGAAATAACAAAAATGTATGATCCTTTGGGTCTTTTAGCCCCATTTACAGTTTTATGCAAAATTTTGATGCAAAAATTATGGATTGCAAATTTGGGTTGGGACAGTGAGATTCCAAAAGAAATTGCTGCAGAATGGGATAGCTATAAAGAAGAAATACCAATTTTATTGCAGTATCGTCTGAAACGATGGATTAAATACAGAGCTGGAGCCCAAATTGAGTTGCATGGGTTTTCGGATGCTTCGGAAATGGCTTACGGAGCTGTTATTTATGCAGTAATAAAATATAGAAACAAAATTTACAGTAATATAATTACTTCTAAAACTAGAGTGTCGCCGCTTTCAAAACAAAGCTTACCACGTTTGGAGCTTTGTTCAGCGTTATTATTAGCTGAATTAATGGATAAAGTGTCAAATGCTTTACAAATACCAATAACTAAGAAATGTTATTATTCAGACTCACAAATTACTTTGGCATGGATTAAAGGAATGCCAAGAAGATGGGAAACATATGTAGGTAATCGTGTGGCAAAAATACAGAAATTAACGAACATACAAGAATGGGAATATGTCAACACAAAAGAGAATCCGGCAGATATCGCTTCTAGAGGAATGAATCCAAAAAATTTAATTAACAGTGAGTTATGGTGGCATGGGCCATCATGGTTGGTAAATAAAGAAAAGGGGCATGCAATGTCAAACGATTTCTCAACAACTATTGGTTTAAGAAAAATATTTGCTGGAGTAAGTGTTCTGAATGATATAAGTATCATTGAGAGATTTTCATCTTTAAACCGAGCAATTCGGTCAATTGCTTATTGTTTACGTTTTAAAGACAAAAGGAATATTATTAAAGGGAATTTAGAAACAGACGAATTAGAGAGAGCAAAGATGGCAATTATTAAACTAAATCAAAGGATTTATTTTGAGGATGAAATAAAGTGTCTACGTAATAAAATAGACATAAGTAATAAAAGCAAATTAAAACCATTATATCCATTCTTGGATGATAAAGGAGTTTTAAGAGTTGGGGGTCGTCTCCAGAATTCGACGTTTGATTTTAATCAAAAACATCCAATTATAATTCCATATGAGGGAACGTTGACAAAATTAATAATTGATTCTGCTCATAAAAAAGTTTTTCATGGTGGAAATCAGCTTACAACAATGCAAATTCGTTATGAATATTGGATTATTGGATGCAAAAGAGCGGTCAAAACTTATATCAATAACTGTGTTAAATGTCATCGTTTTCGAGCTGAATCGGCGAAACAGTTAATGGGATGTTTACCTGCTGATAGAACAAAGGCAATGGTAAAACCTTTTACACATTCGGGTACGGATTTTTGTGGGCCATTTACGATGCGAATGTCGAATAATGGTCGATTAAAACCAATAAAGGGATATGTGGCTATATTTATTTGTTTTTCAACAAGAGCAGTGCATCTGGAAGCTGTATCGGATTTAACAGCGGAGGCCTTTTTAGCAGCTTTTAAGCGGTTTATTTCAAGAAGAGGCAATGTAGAAAAATTATATAGTGATAACGGTGGAAACTTTGTCAAAGCAAAAACAATTTTGCAACTAGAAACAATGCAGGCAATAACAGAGTTCAATGAGGAAATAAAAACAGAATTAGCAAATTTGTCTACAAAGTTTTATTATAATCCTCCAGCATCTCCATGGTTTGGTGGAATTTGGGAAAGAAATATTGGTTCAGTCAAACATCATTTTAAAAGAGTGATTGGTGATAGAATTTTATCATATGAAGAAATGACTACAGTATTGGCTCAAATTGAGGCGTGTTTAAACTCACGACCACTTTGCTCATTAAATGAAAATCCTGATGATTTATCAGTGTTAACACCAGGGCATTTCCTTGTTGGAGATGCTATTATGGCACCTGTTGGTCCATCATTGATAAATCTCAGAGAGAATAGGTTAAATAGGTGGCAACTATGTGACAGAATTAAGCAGGAATTTTGGCATCGTTGGAGTAATGAGTATATTTCCAGTTTACAGAAACGTTCAAAATGGCAACAAGCAGAGGAAAATTTAAAAATTGGTGATGTGATTTTGCTAAAAGATGAGATTAATCCACCATTAAAATGGCCAATAGCACGAGTTGTTTCAATATTTCCAGGAAAGGATGGATTAGTTCGAGTGATAGAAGCTAAAACATCATCGAAGATTTATAAAAGAGCTATTGGAAGCGTATCAAAATTACCAATTGAAGATAATTTTGAAAGGTCAAGCAAATCAGCTAAAACTGGTGTAAATAATTTTTCATCAATGGTTATGGTTATGATATTTTTCCTCTTGTTTTCAAGTGCTGTTGGAGTAAAAAATATAAGCTCTACAGAAATAAACTTAAATTACGGAAATATATCAAATTTAAATGTCGGCACTGGGAGATTATCAATTGAAAGATTTAATGGAAATCCAGGTGTATATTCTGAGTCTTTTAGAAAAATTAAACTACAACAGGGAGAATGGCAGATTTTTGCTTCAATAAACCTGGAGCCATATAACAGGAATTACGATATGTTAAAGGATAATTTTTTTGATTTGGAACATGTGTGCAACAGATTAAATACAAAGTCATCTAAGGAAAATTGTAATCAAATGTTAGATGAAGTTCATCAAGGCTTAAAAAAGGTTAAGGAATATGATGCAATTTTAACATTTCAGAAAAGACAGAAACGAGAATTAACAGCTCTCATGGGTTTGGGCATAGGAGCTTTATTAGGTTGGGGAATTCCAAAAGTTGTGGAATATTTTTCAAGTCCGGGAAATGATGCAGAAAAAATGGCGTTAATGCAAGAGATGCTTAAAGACCAGACTTCAGTTATGATTTTAACAGAAAATTTAGTTAGGAATAATAGTGAAGCAATGCGGAATGAAATAAATTTTTTGTTTAATCAGACTTCAGATTTACTTAGTCAAGTGGATTTATTATCAATGAGTACTGAAATGGCAGAACGAAGTCAATGGCTTTCAATGCATATACTTTTGTTATTATCAGAATTTCAAAATCTACAGCATATGATAATTAATCAGATTATCAATCAAAATGATGCTTTACAAGCAGCTTGGATAAAACCAGAAAAAGTTAAAGAGCATATTCAATTAATTGAGAAGAGTATATCAAAAGAAGTGCAATTAATGGGAGGCACATTAAATGAAAAAATCATCGAGTTTTACAAATTAGCAAAGGTTGTTACGAATGTGGAAGAAAATAACATAATTTTGTTAATAAAAATTCCATTATTTATCAAATCAGATTTTGAAATTTTCAAATTAATACCTATTCCGATTTATAAGGATAGTAAATATCTGATGTTGGATATAAAGCATTCAGTGTTATTTGTGGATATTAAACAAAAGCAATATGCTTTGGGGGGTGAAGAAGTGCCAAAGCAAGACTTTTTCACTGAAAATATATTGTATAAATACAAATCGGATAGGTCTCATTGTGAAGCAGTTAGTCTCTTTGAGAGAGAGATTTCTGAAAAATGTGAGTTTAAAATATTGGACCCATTTGAATATTGGTACAGAATTAATGAGAATAAGTGGCTTTTTAGAATGCAAGCTAAAACCAGAGTTGATTTGATTTGTGGACCTAAAGTAGTGATGTTTGAACTGGAAGGTAGTGGGATTTTAACAGTGTACAATTGCACGTTATCAACAACAGCAATGGAAATACACGTGCTTAAACAGCAACAGTCATATGAGAATATTGTTATACGTAATATGACAAAGTTGGTTGTAAGCTTGGATAAAAAAGTTAATGTGACAAAGATGTTTAGAGAATCAAAGATACAGTCAAACACGTCAGAAATCGCGAGTTTATTAAAAAGAATTGAAGATAAAGAGAAGATAATGTCCAATATGTGGAGTTATTCGTTTCATGATATTATTATTTACTTTTTTCTTTGTTGTGTGATAATGTGGTTATTGTTTTGTTTATGTTCGAAGAGAAATTGAAGGGTTCTAATGAAAAATTTAATCGATTTTTCTTAGTAACAGAAGTTTTAATAAACACTGAAATAATATAAAAACCAGATGATTCCTACAATTGAGTATCAGTTCTGATTTAGTAGCATCATGTCGCAAATCGAAGTTAAATTCGTTGTTGATTTTAAAACAAAATCAGTAATGATTAATGTTGACGGCAATTTTGAGAAAAATGAGGATCAGGAAACAAAGTTCAGTGACAACAAAGGTGACAAAATTTGTGATGAAGTATTTTCTATCAGTGACGAAGAAGATGACAAAAGTATTGATGAAAGTTCAGTTATGTATATTAGCGACGAAGAAAGTGACAAAAATAACGAAGAGGAAGAGGTGGCTATTTTGGATGACGATGAATCAGTGATTTTAATTAGTGATGAAATCTTAGTAATTTCGATTAATGACAGCGAAGACGAAGTAACGGACGATATTGGGGAATCTTTGGGAATTCGGATCATCGACGAGGAACCAGAAGTGTCAATGACCAAAGAAGAAGCAGACGATTTATTCTATGGGGAGTTCACTGAAGAAGAATTGAACGAGATGATGGACCAGCCACTATTTGATTATGTTCGTCATTATTTGGGCGAAAATTATTTAAATCTGAATTTGTCTTAAATTATTCAACAATTTCTTTTTTTCCTTTTGATTAGGTTTTATAGGCTTAATAGAGTTTAAGATAAATTGATTTGATGTTTTTTAAATTATTTAAACATTTAGTTTTTCAATAAAACAAATTTCTTTTAACAGGCGCGCAGAATGTTCACAATTGAACATAGTATGCAAATAGTTTTATGTTGATAGGTTTATTGAGTAGTTTAATATTATGGAGGTGTGGCATAATATTCAGCATGTATGCTGATAGGTTTTAATGAGTATTTTTATTCAGTATGTATGTTGATAGGTTTTCAAAGCTTAAGCATACTGAGTGTTTCTATTAGTTACTTTAGAGTTTATGTTTAGTATAATTATAATATATTTATGTAAAATGTTTTTATCTAAATCACGTATGAATTGAACTTTGGACTTTAGACTTTGATTATTTACATTACTAACACGTTTTGTATTTTAAACTTTATATTAATAGATTTGTTGACAGTTTTTAGCACGTATAAATTCTGTATAAATATAGTAATTTTTTGAATGAATAAATCAGATCAATTTTAGTTGTGAATAAAGTAACATCAAGTTGTTCTCATTTTAAAATAAATGTTAGTTAACGACA